AACAGAACTATTAAGAGATTAACTTATTAATCATTAGTAAAATTTAAAATTTATTAATATTTGTTTATACTCAATATAATTAAATATAATTAATATTAATGAGAATTATAATTATAAAAAGTGATAAAAAGCTTTTTATAAACTATTCCAACTAGTATATCCATACGATGTGTTTAGTATATTATACAACATTCTTTAACTTATAATTTACATTCGAACAACTTATTAAAACATTTGAATTTTATAGGGTTAAATGCATTAAATAACAACTTACTTTTATAAAAAAAATTATTATAAGATTTTACTTTCATTTTTCTTTATTACATCAATGTACTTTCAAATTAATTTTTATTAGGTATCGTGCTTTGAAAAATCTACCAATTATAGCAATGATTAACCTAATACGTTTAAACCGGTAAACCCTTTTATTTTTTTACTTGCTTGGCTTCAATGAGATGATCTAGACGACACATCATTTTGATGACATAACTAAAATTAAAAAAGAAATAAACTTATTTTCAATTATTTTAATGATTTTCATTTTTCATTGATAAGATTTAAAAACATTTATTATTTTTTTGACTTTTTCTTATTAAATTGCATGCAAATTAAATATTCAAATGTAAGATATTTCTTAAATAAATATGGTATATTGTTTTCGATATAATTATTTTGTTTGTAAAAAAATATAACCTTTTGTATTTTATTTTGTTCAAAAAAATACATATCCTTTAAAGTTTTTTAATATGTTAGCGAGACAAATTGTAATCTATAATTTTTTTGATATTGTTATACTAAAAAATAATTCAAAAAAAACTAATTAATATAATATATTTATATTTATATGTCAAGTAAATTTTTTTAAACAAAGTATGATATATTCTTTAAAAAATAATTTTTTTTGGTAAAAAAAAGTAACAATTTTTATTTTCTTTTTTCAAAAATACATACTTTTTAAAAATGTTAGTGAGATAAATTGTGTTCTACTAATTTTATTAATATTGGTATATTAATGAATAATTTAAAATTGTTCTAATTTATTTAATATATTTATTAAATAATATGTAAAATGTCTAAATAATAAACTATTAAAATTACAAGTACAATTTTGTAATAATAACTAGTAGATGCTATAATAAAATAATTTTGAAAATACAATATTTTAATAAGAAATATCATATCAGTTATAGTAGCGTGAACAACCTCCTTGAACAATGAGGTGACATAGAAACATGTTATAATAGGTAAATTTAAATCAAAAAATTACTCAATGCTATAGTAAGTAAATTTTTCAAAGTACAATATTTTAATAAAAAATAATTTCAAAGTACATTTTAAAATATAAAAAACTGGAATTACAATCTTATAATAAGAAATTTTATTAAAATAGGTTACTATTTTGTACATTTTACCCAATTTTATAAAACTAGCTTAAAATCAAATGATAACCATGTTCATTGTTTAAATCAACTAATAATTTAACACTCGTACTTTTTCAAAACCACACAAATTCATTAAATAAAATCGATTAGAGATGTGGAAAAAACTGAGGTAAAGTTTTTAGAAACTATTAGAGAACGTATCGTATTTGTATAGTTGGATATAAAGAAGGCAAAAAAGAACAAAAGCAAATCGACTAAAAATGGCATGAACCTATCGTAATTTGTATAGTTCGATATAGAGACGGCAAGCGTTGATCTAAGTTGCAGCGGAGTTGGATGTCGACTTGTTTATTCTCCTTTTCTGCCTCGGCTTCACTGCATCTTTCAACGTCTTTGATTCATCTGTTTGTAATCCTATTTTCTTTGCTTCTTGAAATGAGTTGGTATCGGAAGATCGTTGGCTAGATTTGGCCACATCAGCTTTCACTTGTCTCGATGATTTTATGTGCTTGTCGGGAGGTGCAGTTACTGCACACCGTCAAATAGAATGTCAGGCTAAATCAAAACCAAACCCCGTATGTCCCACTTAGAAGTACGATTCAGGGTGGGATGAATGCAAATCTGACTTCTGCCCCAAAGAGTAGAGCCAAATCGAGGGAAAGTACAATAATTAATAAAATTGGTATTTGTGGTGTTATTTTTGGTGAGTTTTTGGTTTCAGGTTGTTCAAGCACATCTGGTATGTCCCACTTATAAGTAGGGTCTGAGACTGGGATGGATGTAGACCTGACCTCTGCCCCAAAGAGCAGAGCCAAATTATGGGGAAGTAGAGTGATGAATAAAATGGGTATTTGCGGTGTTATTTTTGGTGGGTTATTGGTTTCAGGTTGTTCGGGTCTCGCATGTGGTCTAAGTTAGGTAATGGTTCTTAGTTACAAAAGGTTATGAAATAACATACCACGAGAAGCTAAAGATGCTTTTAATGCGTCACCATCAACTCCCCTCGAATATGGATCCCTGAAAAATGGAAAAACAATAATGAAACTTAAATTCCGATGAACTTTCAAATTCTGAGAGACGAGAATGTTAGAGTTCCACATCGACTAAACTTGAACAGTTTTTCTTTAATATATGTTTGGATCCTCTTCTCAACTCTTTTGGAGAGTAATCTAAGGGGGCTACGCATATTCTAACATGGTATCAGGACTAGGGTCAACCATATGGGACATCTTTGCCCGACTCAACACTCGGGACATCTTTGCCCATCTAGGCTCCGTTGGAGGGGTCATGTTAGAGTCTCACATCGGCTAGACTTGGACACTTTCTCTTTGATGTATGTTGGAACCCCTGTCTCCCTAAAAGGGCTCTTCTGGAGAGTAATCTAATGGGGTTCCACGTGTTTTCACAGAGAGTATATAGAAATGTAATCAAATTCTGACATTTATCCGAGGGGACTATAAAAGAATCCGGTGACTAATGAGGTCGTCGGAATCTGGTTTTTTCTATTTTAGATTGTACTTAAACAGTTGTAACAAAAATAGACATGTTTCTTCATGGCAACCAGATATAGATTCTTGACATGCGCTGTTTGGCAAACCAGCTTATACAGGTATACCCAGCTAACTTAGCTAATCGTTGATAAGCTAGATGTTGGCGATAGATGAACTAGTCATGTTTGCTAGAAAACTAACAGATAAGCTAGATGACATCGTAAAATGACATTAAAAATTAGTGGGAAAAATATAAGGAGTATGTTGGAAAAAAGAAGTGGCAAAAAACCCATGGAGTTGATTGAGACGCTACCTATTAGGGTTAAACCAAACGGAGCATTTTCAAAAAGCTTAAAAAATAAGCTAGCTTATGGTTATCAAACATGGGCTTTTCAATGGTGGGTTGGGTTCCGGTGAAAAGGAGAGTTAAAGTGAGAAAGGTAAGAAGGGATCTCTACCCTTGGATGCACATTAGGATGAGATGCACCACATCAATCCACATATCAAGCACGATTCATGGGTGGGTTTGAGATTAAAGGTGAATAAGGGTCCAGATCCCTTCTTACACTTCTCACCTTAACTCTCCATCTCATACGATCCTTCGCCTTTCAATGGTTTGCATTTTACAAAACCAAGCTCACCAATTTAAGCGAACAAGAAACCTCGTCAAGATCAAGCAATTATAACTTTTTTTAACATGAAAAAATTCAAATATTGGCCAAAGATCCAAAAACGAAATTCCAAAATTTCAAATGGAAGCCATACCAACTTGCAGGCCGACCACTAAAGCCTTTAGCAGTGGTGTTTTTCTTGTTTGTTTCATCACGTTCATTTGATTGGCTGCCAATTTCCATGTTGCTATGACCGGCAGTAGATACGTCGGACCCCAATGTTAATCTTTCCATATGATACTTTGCCACATCAATGGAACCCTGTTCATCAGGCAAAGGATCATGACGTTTAATTTTCCGTAATGATCTTTGTGTATTATACGCTTCAACCTGAAAATATATTGCAAATAGATCAGTGATGGAAAGATAATGTGAGATTTTATAAGATGAACACACTTCAAGTTGGGCAGTACCATGTGAATTACCAGCTCTGAGACCATTATTTATCATATTAGTATTCTAGTAATCATCTTACAATACAAAAAGATTACACAAATATGGCAGCAGAACATATAATTCATTTATTTAGCTCAATAATAAGGCATAAGAATGAAAATAAGAGTGCCACGAGTTACCAATAAGTATCATAGATTGGAACAACTCCCTTCTCTCACAAGAGAACGATACAATGATAGCAATTAGATTGTAGACCCGAGTCTGGGCAACACATAGGCCAAATTTGGCCTCTGATACTCCTCCCAGTATGGTAATTGAATAAACAATATAGACCCTCAATAGAAAAAGGTTAAATACACACAATATCAGCATAGTTTAGGCAATTCCCATTTTAGACATTCTTTTTCATCCATTTAGGCGACATATTTAAATTTCTGAAATGGAAACATTAAAACATGTTGCTGTTTTGAGTGAAATGTGGAAAGTACATTGCCTAAAATTGATAGAAATGAAAGTACGTTGGTATTCTGCATGGAAAAAAGTACATTGCGTGAAATGAGAATTGGCATGAAACATGAAACCTATTAGTCCGAAAGCGCCGTGGATTGGCAGGAATTGATTGAAACTTTAGCATGGGCTCATGAACGCACACCTTTGGCCAATGTATGTTGCTATTTTGTACAATTAACCCTACAGAAAAAAGAGAAAACGGACCAAACTCTAAAGCCACTTGCGCTATTTTAACCTTTCTCCACATCTAAATAATGCATTCACCCTATTCTCTCCATCCCAAAAATAAATCATGTTTGACTTGACATATAATTTAATAAAGATGTTTGACTATCGGTCTAATGTGGACCATATCAAAATGAAAAGAAGGGAAACTTGTGGAACGAAAATTGAATTTACTGTGCAATAAACCCCTCTGGCCGAAGGCTAGTGGTAGGTGGTCCCCGAGGAATCGAAGAATTACAGATGAATTTACAATCTCGACATAAGCCAAGAGGCAGATCTTGTGTGAATCCTATTTCAATGGGAACTTAGGAATTCGTTGGGCCCCTTGGGAACAGGCCTTCCAATTTATAATTTTGCTTTCTCCAAAATGCAGTTATATAAGCTATCACTTTTGCATCTCTCCTTTCACGAGGGAGCCAGGACAATATAGACAGGAATATTTTGAGATTGGACCCTCTAATTCTATCGTTCAGAAGCCTCAGGACCGTATCAATGAGGGTACAAAGACTTCTAATACATAAATTCAAATTATAAGGCATTTGAAAGCCCATGTATCTGAGCATGATGAGCCGAAGTTACAGCAGCTCCAGATGAAAGGCGACAAGGAAGGCTACCCCTGGGTAAAAGTACCCATGACCAATATTATCTTGAAGCTTCCTTCGTAACTCCCAGAACTTCTCCGAATTGGTTGAGGAAAAGGAAAGCCCAGCGACCAAGCACTCCCGCCCTTATTGGGCACTAGGCCCAATGTAACTCGGATCGCTTAGCCATGCTTCGTAATTGGAAAGAAAACAGCAGTTGCAGCTGCAACACGAGCTCAATATGCAACAGGAATCCAAGGTCGCTAATTTCAAGTAATGATTATTGATAGGCACAAAAATAATCTTGAACTAAAAACTTGCTAGAGAAGTGCTCAAGAATAAAAGGAGAAATTCCATGAATAAATTAATTATTAGAATAAATATAGTCACAAAGAAAAAATGCTTCAAACCCATTCTCAAAAATATTTTATTCCTACTTTACTGAATAGGTGGCGCCAGCATACATAAGGACACCAGGAAACTGCTTGAGAAATAAAAGCAGTTCTTTCAAAACCCAAACAAACTGCAACTGGTAAAAATTGTATGGCGTGCCATTGTGTTCCATGCAGAATTGTAGAAGCACTCAAACAATGGCAAGATATTGTTGAACAAATAAATGGGAGATACAATAAACAAGAATACTTGAGATACAAGTGGTTCGGCCAAGGAATAAACTTTGAGTATTAACAGTGGCTGGCTTTAAAAGATCACCGTAGCAATTTGCAGCCTAATATTTCGACAACATCTGGTTTTATTTATAAAAATCAACACCACAATAATAGAAGTTGGTAATTCAAGAAATTATAATACAGAAAATAACTGTGAACATAGCGACAATCTATCAATCACCAAATAACTACTTACTCAATAACTTCATATTTACTGATATCCACAACAAAGTGCCCTAGTCCCTCAGTCAAATATGGATCGAGATTTATAAGCTATGTTCTCTTTATTAGAAAATTGCAAGTATCATGTTGTTGGTAAACTTATGTCCAATCATTTCAATATATCTTCACATCAAGATCAACAATATTTAACATGTTTACAGATAAACACATCTCCGAAAAACCAGCATAGAAGCATGCAATGGCTCATTAATACTCAAGTATAACGATTAACGGAGAAAAGACTCACAGCATTCTTTATCTTGCTTGTTATATCACCTGCCTTCACAGAAGCAATGCGTAAACACTGCATTATAACACTCTGCAGGACTCCATCACCCCCAGCTTTCTGAATAGCACAAATATCACCATTTGTATTAAGTGTAGCCGTCATTGATCCTCCCATCACAGCCTCTTCATAGTGGGTTGGGTCAATCACCTAACAACGCCAAATAAATTAGAAGATTCAAGAGCCAAAAGCAATGCTTGTAGATACTCTCATCCATGCTATTACATGACAGAATAGTGTTTAGAATTCAATTTGCATACCACGTTGTTTTCTTTACCAATAAACCCAAATGTTACTGCCACCGGAAGATGGTGAATGATCAAAGGAAGTGGCTCCCACAGCTGTTCAATGCACACATGACAATTTAGTTAAGAAAAGACGGTTACTTGAAAGCAAGACCTATCATCAAGAATGAGGCACTTCTTAACAGCTATATAGTTTGGAAAGCTTTATTTTACATGAGATAACGGTATTGGCTGAAACAATGTGCTCTTAAAGACTGAGCCACGATCACTAACCTTAGACAGAATATAATGATACTAATATAAGTTACTTCATCCTTCAGAAAGAAAAAAACAAATTTATTATCTTTATATCATAAGGATAGTGTAACAATATATATGCTAAATTCAATTTATTGAATATGAAAAAAGAAATTCAAACGGGCTAGAGAAAGGCTTCACAGACCTTTCCAAAGGTGTAACAACCCATTCCACTTGAATGGAAGTAGATATGTGAGCTCCTTAAAAGCTCAAAGTTGTGGGATACCAATAGCTTCCACCATAGATTGAAGTTGATTTAGAGGTTATTGGGTCTGCCTGCTTGGGACTTGGGACGCTACAAAAGGGCTAATCTGACATACAAATATATTTAAACATGGACAATGGCAGAGCCACGTTAGCAGCAGAAGGTGCATGTGCTCCTCCTGAGATTTAACTTTGTTTTTAATATTTCAAATATGTATTTCATCTCTGCCTCTCACATAACTGTTGCTGTGGTTTTTATGCTTCAACCATTTGCATTTACATTTCCATTTAATTGGGGACCACATAGGATTAAAATATGTATTTCATCTCCAAACAGAAATTGTTTGATGCTTCTAAAGAAACGTTTTGGTGAAGTAGCATTTTTAAGGGTCGTTTATCAACCATTAACTGGGTAGGTGTTTACCGCGCAAAAGTTATCACCCTCACTTACCTTACCTAGTAAGATTGTCTGCCATCAAAATGACATAAGGTTGTGGTAAGCGTCTTTTATAACCACTAACCCGGTAAGAGTCACCACCCTTACTTACCGGTTAAGCGTCACCACCCCCACTTATCGAGTAAGATTCTGTTTTTGTCATTGTTCTTACCAAGTAATCATTCTTTGTCATGCTCATTCAATAAGGTAAGTGATCCAATAAGCGCTTAGTTAGTTAGCATTTGGTAAACGGCCCTTTAATGAGGTTAAAACCATATGGTTCCAAACAAATGGTAGAACTCAAGCGCTCTTCGAGTTGATGGATTGTATGCAATTGATGCTCCCCTAGTTCTCAATCCTGGCACCGCCCCTGGACATGGAAAAACCGTAGGTTCCACAAAATCTTTAGGTGCCACACTATATAGCTTCAGCAACCAGGTGATATTTCAGAAGCTTGCAAAATTTCAGTTTCATGAGAGGCCTAGGTAAGGGGCAAAGGCAATGAGAAAAGCAGATTAATGTTGACTATAAAATCAACCAATACTAAGACTCTGTTAGTAAGGATGCAGAGGGAAGCTTACATCAGGTGGATTTACTATTACTTCTTGACCATCTTCTCCTCCAAATGTACATTCAGGCCTCCTGAATGTAGAAAGAGCAGCCAAAGCAGCAATATTGGCAGCATCAACAAGATTTCTGGTTTAACAAAGATAAAATGCTCAAAGAACAGTCAGTAGCTATAAAAATTTACGAGCACATAGATATGTATGGCTTTTTACAGCTTACCCCCCATTATCTATAATGTGAAGGTCAATCCGGATGGACCATACCAACTTCCCTGCAACGACACAAAGTGATTCTGTGTCTATGGCCCTGCTTTCCCTGCAAGATATATCTCATCATATAGATGCACTAGGAGTGATTCTCTATCCATTTTCAAAGATATTCAAGGAGTAATCTCGCAAATATGCTAAGAAGAAACAGGTAATGGCAGTGTTTCCCCCTTTTTGCTTCAAAGAAAGTTCAAGGATTTCATAAGATGAAAAGCTCACTAGTCACAATATATAAAATTAAATCACAACTATATAAAACATTAACCACATCTTGAAAAAGTGAAAAGTACATGGAAAAGAAAGTTAAAATGTTATGTGGAACAAACAATTTTTTATAATGCTGAAATTAAAAAAGTTGTGTAGACAAATAAATGGTAAATTGCATGAAAATACAATGTAATTTGGTCCGATTCCTATTTTATACAACATGTTTTCAAAATCTTCATTTTGATACTTGCTTGACATCAAAGAATACATGAAAATGCAACTGTACTTTGGTTTGATTCCTATTTTGTGTACCGTATCTCGGTCTGAATGTATGACTTATGAGGTACCTAAATATAAGTTTTGGAAGTAAGTTACATAATATAGAAGTCAGACCACAGTATGCAATTTGCCCACAAACAAATGGATACCTCAAACCACGATCTACAATTTGTCCCAGCTCAACAGCAGTTTCTCCAGGACGACCTGCCTCAAATGAAGGATCAGCCATAGGCGAGAACTCGATGTAAATCGCAAATGTCCCTTCAGTCGGCCTATCTCTATAAGGTTGAATTAGTTGGGCCGAAACAAAACCAATAACTTGAGTATGTCCAAGCTGCACCTCTGATGAACCATCTTCGCTGCACTTTTAAACCAATGTTAAGGAGCTATTCATCGTTTAAGTTTCTAACAAGTAATGTCTCATTACGAGGCGAAAACTCCAATAGCAAGCAACCAAGAAACAGAAAATTAGGCTTTTGTTACCTGCCAAACCTGATAGTTAGGTTTCTATAGTCAAAAGGGCGCCGACCATCAACCCTAATGTCTGAAAGTAACGCACTCTCAATGAATTTCTTTTCATTTACTGTCATTATTAAGGAATTAGCTTGCCTCTGATCCATTTTCTACCTGCATTTCATGTACTGATTTATAGTGATCCGTAAAACATAATGGTAGTGATATTGTCAGATTACAATTTGTTTCCCAAATTTGTAAAAAGATTCGAAACTTACCACCTAGAGGCGAACAGATAGCATTCAAACCAAAAACATGATGGTATACGATCCAAATAACTTCGCATTCACAGTGATGTTCTATGTTCAATTCTACCAAGCCCCCTACCCAATAACCATCCATAATAAGACATTTTAACCAATTAAACTACATAAAACTCATAAATACCTATAAGAGAACGCTGAAGCAAATTTCATCCTATGACTACACAATCTGATTATGCATCCCTTGCGCAGTTCAGTAGGCATTACACAGACAGAGAAAAAGAAAAGTCGAACAGGTAAAATGAAAATTGAAAAATCAACCGGACTCGCCTGTAGCCGTAGTGGTCTACGCCGCCGGTAGCCGTCACAATAGTGGCGACGACGGTGCCTCTCCGTGTGATCGCAAGTTGGGGAAGAGGGTTTTCCAGGAGGTTTTTGGCCCCAAGTTGTTCACAGTGCAATGGAAATTACAATTTACAACATTGATCGTTACCAAATTACCAAAATAACCCTGTATACTCGATAGATAATGGGGGTGCTAATGGCACCCCTTATAGGGGTGTGTTGATTGTGTTGGGAATTGTGTTGAGTTTAAAATTTAGAAAATATCAAATCAATTTTAAAAATATATTATATTTAATTATTATTAGTATTTAATATATATATATATATATCAATTAATTAAGTTATATTATATAATTATATATATAATCTTTATATACTTTACATATATTATATAATATTT